ATCTAGCAGCATGTCTATGATAAAATTAAACAAGAATGGAGAGAGTGGATACCCTGGCGGACACCACTTGAAGTAACGAATTCCGATGACAGTTTGCCATAAGCCCTCACCCGCACCAGTAGTCTTAGAGTAGAGAGCTTGTATAAGGTTAATGTACTTCTTTGGTATCATCTTTTACTGACAGACACTGCCACAGAACCTCACGATCAACTGCGTCAAATGCCGCCTTCAGATCCACTAAAACAACTATTGTAGGACGCCTAGATGTGTGTCCGTGTTCCAGAACCTGTCGCTAGAGTGAAGATGTGGTCTATAGATCCACGTCCAGGTCTGAAAGCAGCCTGGTTTTCTCACGTCTGCTTTTCACGAGCTCTATTTAGGCGTCTAAGGATTATCGGGGCTAACAATTTAGAAACTATATTAGTTAAACTGATTTCCCCTGTGATTGTCACAAGAAGACTTTTGTCCTTTCTTGTAAATTGGACAACTAGGGATTGAGTCCTAGTCGGAAGGGATTGTGCTCCAGTTCCTAGATTCTACCTAAGATTTCAGTCAGATTTAGTTGCTAAAGCTGGACCTAAATCCTTAAATTCTCAGGAGTTAGCCTATCAGGACCTGCTGCTCTACTTCGCTTCAGATTTCCTATAGCTTTCTCAACTTCATAAAGACTAGGAGGTCTTACATTGATTTGCTATTCAGGATAAGTGCGGTTCGTGGGCAACCGAAGTGTGGCTGAAGGCCAGTTGAACTGATCCCTAATGTTCTGCCCATCGATCCAATCTCCTGGATTGAGAATGGATAATAAGTCCATCCTTCCCTGAGATAGTTTCGCTAACAGATAGATTCCTAACACCGGGTTCCTTTATAAGGTGGAACAACTGTCTACTGTTGCCTATCGCCGTTGCCTTTTCCATCTCTCCCGTTTTCGCCACCCACCACTGTTTCCGATCATTCTGTAGGCTTTTTATCAGCCTGCGGCTAAGCTGACTCCGCTCCTCATCGCATTTAGAGCCAGGTTGGATGAGTTTTCGAGCATCCATCAGTTCGGTAGATGCTACTGAAATCCACGGCTTCTCCCTAATCTTGTGGTTTACCTTACAAGCAGATATCACTGCTGTTTCCACAGCCTTTTTGACATCATTCCAAGCTGCCTCAGGGCGGGTATCACTTACTACATGGCTGCCTAATTGTTTTTCTAGTTGTTCCTGAAATATATTCTTAGCTATGCTATCATTAAGTAGAGCCCTAACATGTTTCCTTGCGATATTTTTCTTGCGTCCAGTAAGGCGCAAACAAATACGCGCTCGCACTGGAGCATGGTCTGAGTCTTAACAAGTGCTCCAGAATGAGCCGCAGTCTTCAACAGAACCTCTGAACATATGGCTTATAGCGATGTGATCTAGTTGAGTCCATCTTTGGGTCGGCTTTGGGGGGCGCCAGGTAAAAGCGTGTTTTACCTTATGCTTGAAGTTAGTGTTTGCTAGGAATAGGCGGTTATCTGAGCATAGCACGCAACATACATCGATCACCCGGGATTCCAGAGTTCTAGCTAATGAAGCCTGTTGCCCTATTTGGCATAGAGTCCAAACATTAAAAGCTCCTATATGTAATTTAGTATAGGGTTTCGAGAGACCAGTGATAATGTTTCGTGAGCTCATACCGTTTGCTTCAGTGGCGTGAGGTGATAAACGATCGAAAGGAGGGTTGTTTGAGGAGATAAGAGAGTTATTAAGAGGAGTAGAAGGGATTTGATTGTGGCCGATTTGGTCTTGTGTGCTTTTAAGGGTATGAGGGTGGATATCACTTCCCGGCTGCTCAAACCGTGGAAGGGTGTTTCTTCAGAAACCTGAAAAAAAAAGGTAGATTAGTGTCCGTCTTAGAGACCTGAGAGTGTGACTGCAGAGTCCAAGGGAAAACTGCTTGAGGCCGGTCACGCACGGCCTTTTTATGAGAAGTTTTTAGAGTATTAGCTCCGCTCTTAAAAGCCCTTAGTGGGCACCCTTACCGACGGAGAAGGAAATCCGTTAGGTAAGGTGAGGTATGACATTTTGCGGGTCGACCTTTTCTAACCATTCCTTCCTTATGAGAAGGTAGCATAGCTGCAGATGCTGGTTGTCCGAGGGAAACACCTTACTGCTGTCACACCACTCTACGGTTAGCCGTAAGACTTCTCCCTCAGACCTTGAGTAGCTGCTGTTTTCAGTCTCACTGTTCTCCAACCGACCTGCCTAGCATGGTAGAACCTACAGAAACATATGTTCCAGCCAATATAGCTCGGTTGGGTCATCACGATAGTCAAGCCCGACCACCACGTCAAGGTGGCAGCTAGGGTCAGGAGATTAGTCAATGTGCAACAAAAAACCACCCTACTTCAATCTGCAGGTAAATTTGGTTAGGGATTCTATGCAATCCAAAATATAATACAACTCCTCTGAAACATGACTTCACTTCATCACGCATGAAGAAGATTCTGCCAAAAGCATGTTGGGATTATGAAAGGTGGGATTTTGTTGACACCTGCTTCATGTGCTAATGTCATTACGAATCGGACCGAGCGACGAGTTCTCAGTCCAAAAAGGTAGGCAGGAATAAAATGTTTTACATGTCATGTCAAGGAGGCAGTTGCAATCGGTGAGAGACGATAACATGATTTGTAATAAAATTTAGAATACATGGGACACAGAAAAACTATCACCCCACCAATATCATTGAGGAAGGATTCCACATCCATCAATTGGCATTTTATTCATTGACTTTGGCAGTAAAACTATCATCAAATGAAACCACACAAAACTTACTTTATGACAATAATTTTGCTTTGGAAACTTGTAAAAGTATAAACATAACACCCTGATACCTAAAGAATCGACTTAACATCTATAAAGAGTTTCCTTACTCATTCAGTCAGTAATGA